TAGATATGAAGAACAATAAAACCCAAAATATATGTACATATTATTCACCATATCATTTAGCTTAAACAAATTTAACAAAAAAAAAACCAACCTTCCAAATTTCAGGAGCTAAAACGATTGAACCCTAAATAGAATCAACTTTTGAAACGTAATCGATTGAACCGAATATTGGTTATCCTAAAATAAGTGGTTGACCTTCTAGAAATTAATGAATGAAATTGAATTAGTTATTGAAATAACTTGTCTGGGTGATTAGGGTTAAGAATAATATGTTTTAGGTTTGGGACTTTTTTGTTTTTTAAACTGAGGTTTTTTTATTTGGGTTAAACACAGGCTTTTTTTTTCCTAAATAACTTTCCATTTTTATTTTTGTTATAGAATAGTAATAAAAAATTTAAATCAACATGAAATTTATCTAATCAGCTGATTCGTATTCTTTTTACGCGTTATTGCAGTGCATAAAATGCACATCTCATTTTCTATTGAAATAAATCTTACATTATTACAAGTCGATAACGTTTAATCTTTATTTATATAAATTAAAACGTTTAGTCCTAAATTGAGTAAACATTTTATCTTTATTTGAGTATTTTGGCAATTAAAAGACAAGTTAAGGTTTCATAGTTGGGTAAAAAAAAAAGCTAAAGATGAAGAAACAGATAAAATAAATGTTAAAACCAAACATTTAATACTAGTTCCAATAGGGTAATTGCATCATAAACCCACTAACATAATTAAAGCAAACAATAAATAGCAAAACCCTAACCTATCTAATCAGACAAAAAAAAAATGAAACCTGAAACAAATAAAGAATTTTAAATCCTAAATAGAAATGGACAATAAGGCAAAATTAAAAATGTGCATATAGGTCAAACAACAAAATAAAAAAGCTGAAAAAATAGGCAAACCAAGTTGAGGCAATAACAAAGAATGGGCCAAAGATAACAAAGAAGAGAACTAACTCGAGAAAGCAATGAACCACCAAACCTCTTATATAATAAATTGTCAACTATAGTGTAATAATTCAAAAGAAATGATAAATTGCCAAAAGGGTGCAAGGCCAATAAAAAAGTATGGGACACATCAATTCTGATAAACATCTATCATAAAAAACTATTATATATCCCTATCAATATTGCAAATAACAAACCTAAAAAAGTGATAAAACATATTTGAACTCACTAAAAAACTTAAAGAAATTGAATGAAATCATAAAGGCAAAATACCTAATTGAAAACACAACAAACAAAGCATGTTGGCAAAAATATAAGAAAATAAAATAAAGATGAGAACAAAACACAAAGAAACAAATTATGTAGGCAAATTAGAAAGGCAAACAAAAAGGAAAAGGATAAAAATAAAATATCGAGAAAACAAAGAAAGAACCAATTGAAGAGAAAAATAGGATATATATATATATGTAAATTAAGGTAAAATGAAAATTGTTGATGAGAAAAAAGTAAAAAGGAAAGCAACCAACTTGTAGGAAATAAAAAAAAAAGAGCAACAATTAAAAGAAAAAAAAAAAAGGGAAAGACATAACAGGTGGGTAACTAAATGGTAGTCAACAAAAAGTCAACATTAATAAATTTAAAAGTATAGATTTAAATACTATATAATACCAAAAACTAAATAAAAACAAAATCAAAAGCTACAAGTGACAGGAACATTTTTGTCCTTGCACTATAGTTTTAAGGTTAATAAAAAAAAAATGAAAGCAAGGGAAAAAAAAAGTCCAATGAGGAAGAATATTTCCACTGGACCCTTAAGGGTTCTATTAACTTTTTGAACTCTAATCTAGTGGAGAAAATCCAAACACACTAAAAATTATTTTGCAAACAATCTATTAATGCAGTTTAAGCCTCCAATTGCACCTTACTAGATCATAAACTAAATCAAAATGAAGCCTAAGTCAACGAAGCAAAAAAATATTAAGAACTAAGAACTTATTTTAATTGGTTCGCGTACTCACTCTTAAAAAGTGACATTCAACATATTTAAAATTTTAACATCAATACTTGCAATTATTTTACCTATCTCAAATTGTGACCTTTTTTATTAAAAAAAGCATTGAAAAGGAATGGGAAAATTGTGCTTTCATGTGGTATGAGGCTTATAATCTTTTTAATTGTGATTGTAATTAAAAAAAGGGCTGCAATTTGCAAAAAAATTATTTTAATTGACTTTTGCATATACTTTGCTTCCCAGGTAGCGAACAATGATTTTTTAATATAACAATAATACTAATCAGAGATATGACTTTAGGTAAAATTTTAACAACAATCACCTTAGGTGGGATGCTAGCTTGTAAATTCAACAACTATAATCCCTTAACACTGACAAAATTTATTAAGATCCTAACTTTGTATTATAATATTAATAATATTTATGATTTTATCATGATTTTTCTATTTTTATATAAACAAAATTATCAAGAATCATATAATTAAAAATTTTTATAAAATAGTGTCATATTTTATACCTTTTCCCTTACAATACATAAGGTGAGCTATAATCTACACATTCAATTCAAATCCAAAACTTAAGAGAAAATTGTTTGGTTTATTTAATAGTAACTTTTATTTTGACTTACTTCAACAAACTACAAGTTATAAAGAAAAAAGAATTCAATTCTTTAAAACCAACATGTAAAAATCCAAAGCATTGCCAACAGCTACATAATCCATTAGTAATATGTTAAATTTTTAATTTCAATAATTAAAATTTAATCCCTGATATTCTTAATTATAAAAAAAATTAGTAATTGGATAAATAGTTACCTTTTTTCATTGGTAAATTTGAGTTGTTTATCGTAACATATTTTTATATCCACCATCAACTATGTTTTTAATTCATTAATTTATATCTATAAACAACTTCTTTTAATGAATTTGCCTTTTTCATTTTTACCTTTTGGTCAAGTAAAGTTCAATTAACATTGTGTGCTTTACAAAGGTTTTACTAGAGATCACATTATTACACTAGTATCTTTTGTATAATCCAAATTCACGTATAATCTTTCTTATAAAATGTATAATGTTAAAAAAATTAATATATATATATATACTAGATTATAACTCGTACGATGAATGAAATAATTTTATTTATTTAATATAAATATATATTAGTTTCTTTTCAAAATTATATTCAAATCTTTAAAACTTATAACATATATAAAATATATATCTATATTGACTTGTCATCAAAAAATAAACTTTCTTAAGCACGAAAAAAAATTATGTTTTTCCTTTGGATATTTTTTGTTTACAATAATATTTATACACCTGTAAAATTATATCAAATTAAAATAAATTATATTTTTTAAAAAATAAATATATATTATTGAATGATAAATTAAATAATAAAAGAAGCATTAATACACTTTCACTTTAGTTTTCTTAACTAAATTATTATACAAAATATGAAAAAGTTAGAAAATATGTGAAAAATTGAAAAAAAATTATTTTTTATAAAAATAAAACTGTAATAATAATAAAATATATTTTAGAAAAAATTTATAAATAAAAAAATAAATTGCAATCGTAATAGAATATACCTTAAAAAAATTATTGAAAAAATAAAAAATTGATGTATAACACATTATATTTGTAATCTTAAATTTGTAAAAGAATTTTTTAGTGGTAATTAGGATTAAATAGATAATTTTTAAATTAATTTTTTAAAATATAAAATGGATATAATAAGTGATAAAAATAATATTAAAATTTTTACATTTATTTGAAATATAAATTTGATAATTAGAGTTCAAATGATATAATCATTTTGATAATCTTATTATTTAAAGATTAAGATGAAAATTTTTTGAATTTTCAAAATTGCTTGAATTTTTAATATCTTATGTAAATTTTTTAAAAAAATAATTTTTTAAATCAAGATAAAAAAGATTTTTGAAAGATTTTGATAGACTTAATCTTTGTAATTTTTAAATATATTTAAAAGATTTTGATAATTAAATAATTTTTTAAATAAGATTATTTGGTAAACAACTAAAATTATTTATTAAAAAAATAGAATTCCTTTTTCATATTTTTAATTTTAGAATATATATCTCTTAATTGATTTAATTTTCAATTATAATATGAATAATTTGAATATTTAAATAAATTTAAAATTATCTAATTTATAATTAAAAAATTATTTTATTCTTTTAAAAAAAATCCTATGTGTCACCTAAAAAAATTGTCAACATAAGTACCTTTATGGTAAATTTATTTATGTATGTTGTTATATAATATATATATATATATATATATATTAGATTAGATATATTAGATATATATAAATATATTTTGTATAATTCTTTCTTCTTTTTTTTTGTTTACACTAGTATCTTTTTGAGTAATCCAAATTCACATAAATCCTTACTTACAAAATAGTTTATGCTCAAAAAGTTAAATATAAATCTTTCTCCTTTGAAAATAAATATATATTTGTATAATTCTTTTGTTATTTTTCCTTTTGTTGTAAATGTTAAATGTTAATTATGAATCTATTAAAACGATTAATATCACTTCATCTTGTTCATGACCTCATGTTCATTAAATATCAAATTTTACTTCTCCTAATTTTTATGATTCCCAAACATAACACCAACATTAACCAAATTCTTAAAAAACAAAAAAGGAAAAGTCAATTTTGGATCAGGTAAAAATCCAATCTTGGACAGTGATAGATCCACACATGGATCCTTTTAACAACATTTGGAACATTAACACTGTCATTAACTCTCTGTCTCTCTCTCTGAAGTACAGTACCCTGTACCTCCTCTCCACTATCCTTCCCTCTCTCTCTATATATATATAGCAAATCAAAAAGAAAAAACAATAAAAAAAAAGCCGATTATTGAGATCTAATCCCCCTATCTTTCTTGTTTTGTCCTGGTCCTTTATAGAGGGAGAAAAACCAGACCATCTTTTCTCAGATCTCATATCGATTTACCCATTTCGTTTTTTTTTATTGAAACCCAGTAAGCTTTTGTTCCTTTTAAGCTTTTGTCTTTGTGAATACATTTCTGGGTTTTCATTGAAATTTTGGTTTCTTTTCTTTTATGGGGATCTGATTTATGGGTTTTGCTTGCTTTTATTGTAGCTTTAATGGGTCAATCTCAATTTTCTATCTTTACTTCAAGAATTTTAGTATTTTGTTTCCTTTGGAATCAAAGTTTGATTCTTGATGCTTGAATTTGGTTAATTTTGATGCTTTTTCTTTATGCTAAAATGTAGATTTGATTGAGTTTTTGACTCAGATCTGTTGATTTAGTTCATTATAGTTACTCCATAGCTGTCGTTTTCATGATTACCATTGTTTCAGTTCAGGGTAAAGGAGCATTATTTACATGCTTTTTAGTGCTTTTTCATGGATCAATCCTTTTCATTGCTTGGTTGTCAATCAACTGGTTACAACTTTAGGCAGTTAGCATCATTTAGCATTGTCGTTTTCTTTTTTTTTTTTTTTCTTATCCTTTCTTTTTAATTATGTAATCTATGAGTCTTTTTCTATAGGTTTTGACTGTTGACATGGATCTGAATTGTTCGATAAGTTTAGAGCTTAGTTTTGAACTTTATTGTTGAACCTTCTGCAATACCATGTTTTGAGCCGATGGTAATTGATTGGTGTCTCATTTATATTATTTTATTTATCATTTTGAGCTGGTCAGAATTAAAGCTAGTAGGTTGAGAGATTTTAGACTTCTTAGTGGTTTAATAAGTGGATCCTCTTACTATTATTGTTAGGATTTTTAATTTTCTAGTGTCTATGTTCTAATGAAGGTTGCTTTGTATGTTGGTGGCTGGCTTTGATGTTACTCTCTTGCATCATGTTATTGATTAATTGATAATTTCAAGTAATAGTAATATGATCTTTTAAACTTGAATTTCAAATTTTGATTCTAAAAGGGTAATAGAAGAAGTAACTTCAGTAACTTGTGTGCTTGACTCGTATGCTGAAGAGAATTGCCTGATGGTTTCTTACTTGTCTGTTTACAGGTTTGATTAGTTACCTGCGGTGTTTCTTTCTTACAAGGTTTGAAGTGATTTGTGTTATTCAATTTATTGAATAGAGCTTGATGGTGGCAACAAAACAGATTAATTTTGAATAGAAATTTTGACGTGTTTTGACAATTGAGTGCTCAAGTAAAAACACTTTGTGAAGAATCATATTACTAAAGAAGGATGAGGGGAAGATCTGATGGAGGCCAAAAGAAACGTTTAATCTCCTCTGTCTGTGTTGTGGCAGTCTTTCTTGGTTTTCTCTATGTATATTATGGATCTATTTTTGGGTCTTCAAACCGTGGTGCTGCAGCTCTAGAATATGGCAGCAGATCTTTGAGAAAACTCGGATCATCTTATTTGGGTGGAGATGATGACGCTGATGGCAAGCAATATGAATCTTCATTAAAATTTGGACAGGAGGAAGGAGAAGAAGATGTCATATCAGAAACTTTCCCTGTAAGTTTTTTACTGCTGAACCATTTCTAGGCACCTTTCTCCTTCCATCTTCCCACTCCTCAGGTCTCGTCTTTTTCCTTTTCTGTTAATTCTATACTTAGTACCTTAACTTTCAACTTGTAATCTCCCTTTGCTTCTTTCCTTTGTTGGTTGCCATCTCATTTAAGTTCTCTGCTTATGACTTTGAAGGTTTGTGACGATCGTCATTCAGAATTAATTCCCTGCTTAGACAGAAATTTGATATACCAAATGAGATTAAAGCTGGACTTGTCTGTGATGGAGCACTATGAACGTCACTGCCCCCCTCCTGAAAGGAGATACAATTGCTTGATTCCTCCTCCTCCAGGATACAAGGTACAGATTCCCATAAGCTGAGCGATCAGATTGTTGTTGCTGTATATTTGTTTTGGCGATGGTCATGATCATATGTGTCATATATTGACTGTTTTTTAATACATGTGAAATTACAGATCCCAATTAAGTGGCCTCAAAGCAGAGATGAAGTATGGAAGGCAAACATTCCCCATACTCACCTTGCACATGAGAAGTCTGACCAGAACTGGATGGTTGTAAAAGGTGAAAAGATAGTATTTCCAGGGGGAGGCACCCATTTTCACTATGGAGCTGACAAGTATATTGCTTCAATTGCAAATGTAAGATTGCCAATGCCTACTATCTTTAGCTCAAAAGAAAATATATTGAAACATGGTCAATAATCAGAAGACCTACTACAGAATGGTCGAATGTGTGTCTGTCTGAGTTTTCTGCATCATGCTTTGATTTCTTCTTTTAGTAATTGGAATGGATTCTTGAAATATCATGGCCCTTCTTTAAACTTCTCAAACCTATGCAAGAAGCAATGACATTTCTATGATTTTGAATTGGCAGATGCTCAACTTTTCACACAACAATCTAAATAATGAAGGAAGAATTCGAACAGTTCTTGATGTTGGCTGTGGTGTCGCAAGTTTTGGAGCGTATCTTCTTTCTTCTGATATTATAGCAATATCATTAGCACCCAATGATGTGCATCAAAACCAAATCCAATTTGCTCTGGAAAGAGGAATTCCTGCATATCTTGGTGTTCTAGGGACCAAAAGGCTCCCTTACCCAAGCAGATCATTTGAACTTGCTCACTGTTCTCGCTGTAGGATTGATTGGCTTCAGAGGGATGGGATTCTTCTTCTTGAGCTAGATCGGTTACTTAGACCTGGGGGCTATTTTGCCTACTCATCTCCAGAAGCTTATGCACAAGACGAAGAGGATCTCAGAATATGGAGAGAGATGAGTGCCCTTGTGGGACGTATGTGTTGGAGAATAGCTGCAAAGAGGAATCAAACTGTCATTTGGCAAAAACCTTTAACAAATGATTGTTATATGGAAAGAAAACCTGGTACAAATCCCCCCCTCTGCCACTCTGATGATGATCCAGATGCTGTTTGGGGTGTGCCAATGGAAGTTTGCATCACTCCTTATTCTGACCGTGAGTATATCTATTTTTCAATGTTACTAGCATTAAAGTCTTTTTCCCCATCTTTGGTTGATATTTTCTTCTTTTTTGAGGATGTCAATATTTGGATATAACTTTTTACATAATATTTCTTAAACATTGTCTTCCTTAAACATTGTCTTCTTGAACTTTGCTTTTTATTATCTTAGAAGTTGACCTTTGTTTTTTATATTACAGCATTGTCATCCTTAATTTTATTTCTGAAGTGATAAATTCAGTACACTACATTTCATTCTCCCTCTGATATGTTGCTTACATATTTTAAGCAAACATGAAATGGCTTGTTTAATGGCTTCACATCAACTTCCGACGAGCTGAAATCTTCATTTATTCTTTATGTAGTTGAGTTTCTTAACAGTAAGCTTGATTGGGTTTTATCTTAAGGGGTAAAGAGAGAAGTAGGGGCGGGAGTCTTACCAAATAAAAGAGATATTGTCTAGTAATTTGCGAATAAGTGGTGTTCTGCTTCCATTTTTTATTTGTTTTGCTTCTGCTTGGGTAATGTTGTATCTAGTGCATTCCATCTGCCCATTTATACTTTGTGAATATTTGCAAGTTATAGGATATGATTGTTGCTTAATTACATACAACTAAAAGCAATGCTATATTTTGCAATGGAAAATTACAGAGGTTCTTTTAATTGATGGTATTGAAAGGTAGGGGCCTAAACTTTATCTCAACTAAAACTTCTCTTTGTTGCCATCAGATGACCAGAAAGCCAAGGGTAGTGGTTTGGCTCCTTGGCCAGCCAGATTGACATCTCCTCCTCCCAGGCTTGCTGATTTTGGTTATTCAAGTGAAATGTTTGAAAAAGACACGGTACTTAGGGCAACATTGTTTCATCTATGCCTTTATTTGTGGTTATTTTCTTTTGTTTATATTTTGATTTATTTGGCAATGATATACCATATAGACATTAATAAACCTTTTGTTATTCCACAGGAAACTTGGCGCCGGTGGGTAGAGAGTTATTGGAACCTCTTGAGTCCAAAGATTGAGGCTGATACTTTGAGAAATTTGATGGATATGAAAGCAAACATGGGTTCGTTTGCAGCTGCTCTAAAAGGAAAGAATGTTTGGGTGATGAATGTCGTCCCAGAGGATGGACCAAACACACTTAAGTTGATATATGACAGAGGTCTGATTGGCACTACTCATAACTGGTATGCACAAATTAACTTAGAAATCTGCATAACTAAGTGTGAAATATTAACTTATTTTATTTTCTGTTAAAGGCCAAAATTCTGTACTTTGCTTGTTGTATCTGCATGTTTGGTTTCCTGTTTTTCCAATAAGGTAGAGAGGGAGAGCAATTATTGTCAGTGAAAGAACTAAAAGGTGTATCTGGTGAAATGGTAACTTTAACAAAAAACAGCTACAGTTATTCCCCATATTTTTAACATATTGATGCCACCTGTCTGGCCCTTTTTTTAAGGAAAATAGAGTGCCGCTTTTCCTTTTCCGTCTCATGAAGGTCTTTTCCATATGGATTGATAGTGAAATGAATGTTGAAGATAAAATGTAAATTTTGTATTAATTGGATTGATATTTTTGGCAGGTGTGAGGCCTTTTCCACATATCCTCGAACATACGATTTACTTCATGCTTGGACTGTATTTTCTGATATTGAGAAGAAAGGCTGCAGTGCTGAGGATTTGTTACTTGAGATGGATCGCATTCTCAGGCCCAGTGGTTTCATAATTATTCACGACAAACCACCAGTGATAGATTTCATAAGGAAGTATTTGTCAGCTTTGCACTGGGAAGCAGTAGCAACAGCTGATTCCAGTTCAGATTCAGCTCATGAAGGGGATGACATTGTGTTTATCGTCCAAAAGAAGTTGTGGCTGACACGCGAAAGCCTCAAGAATTCTGAATAGAATATGTCAGCCTCACAATATCCCCTCTCCCTATATCTCCCGCAGCTCCAAGGGATTAAGAAGCTCTCCCACTTCCTGATATGCAGTAAGCAATTTCATTTTGTAGCATTAAGCAATAGTTCACATTATTTTTTTACCCCTTTTTTCTCATAATGAATTACTTGACAAGCCATAAACTGGTCACTATCTATAGGCTATTCTTCAATTTTTTTTCCCTCTATTTTGGTTTTGTCCGAAGTTACTTCAGCTAATGACAAATAATCAAATACATAAACTATGTAATGCTGAAGTGCATAAACATTGTGGCTTTCAACTTGCCAAGCTTTTCCATGAATGAATATTCTTTTTTATACATTCTCTTCACTTTTTCTTGTCTCTTTATTCTTGGGGCAAATTCTGAAAAGTTGTGGCTCATTAGCAGGTTTATTACTTGGGAAATCAAGATTTAATTTATTTTATTCATATAATTATTTTAATAAATAATATATAATAAATTTAAAATTTAAACTTCAATATCTATAATTTTTTTTCCTTTTTATCTCATCTTATGTAAAACAAAAAAAATTGGGATGACGTGTGATTAAAAGGGGTATTATGGTAAACAATGGGATTTATAATTTGCTTATCAAAATAGTCAAATGGATACTTCTTATATTTGTGCTTGATGAATCAATCAGCAGCTGTTAACCTGCAGTTGCTAGCCTGTCATTAGTAGAGTCGTTTGAACGGAAATTTTACACTGATTTCTTCTTGAGTGGGGACATTTTATGCCTTGACAAGTTTGACTATCAACATTTCTCATTTCTGTGTATTTATTTTTTTTCTGCCTTGCTTTTTGGTTCACTTTTTCTGTGGACTAGCAAACGCTAGCAATCCCCCCTTTTCTTGCCTATTAAATCTAGAGAAGGAAACTATAACTCGTTAGATAAAAAAAAAAAATCAAATTCAACTCATTTTATGCAATGTCAGTACTATTAGGCAAACCTTTTTCTATCTCCGTTTTTGTAATATTTTTTTATCTTTATAACTATGACCCTTTTCAATAAAGAAAACAAAAACAAAAACGTCCTTAGATGGACAAAAGAAAAGGAGGAATCAAGATCAAATTCACGACCAAGAAAGAGTTTAATGAAAAATTATTTGATATATCATAAAATTTTTTAACTTTATAAATGAGATTTTAATAAAGTGACATATTTTATTTTTTTAATTAATGTTTTTATATACCATAAAAATATGTGACATTCTATTAATTCTGTATATTAAATTCAAAAATTTTACTATCAATGTATTAGATAATTTCTTTTTCAATAGTTTGTTTAGAATTCCATGAATTCTCCCCAAACTTTCCACACTTAATGAATCCAATGTCTTCTTGCATTCAGAATCAAACCATTCTTCAAATTTTCAGACAATAACTTTTAAACAGAATTTTGTACAAAATCAGTCAAGGGGATCCTGGTAACTTACTGGAATAAGGGACTTAAGTTTACATATTGCCTTCTCTAATTATAACTGTCAAGTAAACCGTCATATATATCCATAATGTTCCATAAGTACATTGAAGCCATAAGTGCATGCATTGTCCTAATTTCTCTAACTGTAAGAAGTGGGATATGTTCCGTTGTTAATCCTCCCAACATCTCATCCAAAGTTTCCAATCCCTGTGTCAGTTCCAATTGGCCATAGTTTGTTGTTTCCAAACCCTATTCCCAAAATCCACTAGCCCCATCCATGCCGCAGCAATTACACAATTATATTAATGTCAGGATCGGATAGTTCTGATACTAGTTATTAGGCAAAAAAATTTCCAATCAATCAAATAATCAAGTCAGTGAAAGTATATTAAACTATAAATCATTTACATAAGAGATAATAATTTTAATATTGTTCAGCATTCAAGTTAACTACCTTTATAGATGAAAGAAAAAAATTTACTAATTGTAAAGAATTACCAATATATAATCTCAATCTTAAATTGACCTCTAATGATCTTAAATTGATCTCTAACGATTCCCAATTAATCTTTAATGATCCCAAATCAAACATTTACACATACATACATACCCGTGTGGACTCTCTAATTCACTTAAAATATATACACACATATAGACTATTTTAATCTCTTCTAATCCTATAAAGTATTTTCACATCAAACATTCGAACATACGCACCATGGTATCTACCTAATAAAATCCTATAACTCTCATATTTTTTTCATACCTAACCTTATAAAGACTCTAACTATTTATAAGCCTGCTAACTTAGGGGTGAGCAAAAGTCGGTTTGAACCGACTAGATTGATCGAAACCGAGTGAATTCGGTTGAATCGATTCAGTTTATTCGATTTTAGTTATAATCAATTTTTTAAATCGATTAAATTGGTTAATTCGGTCGATTTTCAATTTTTAAAATTGATAACCGCACTGACCGAATTAATCGACTTTCTAATAATTAAAAATAAAAAAAAATTGAGATAAATATTTTTATTTATTATTTTTTTGTAAAATATTGTTGAAATTATTAAATTTTTTAGTAATTTAGTTTGAATGATACTAGAGTTTGAATTTTATTAAATTGAATTTGTGGTTAAATAATTATTTATAATATGAAGAAAAATGATTAAAAAAATCGGTTATTTAACCGAACCGATTTTGGTCGGTTCGGTTATGATCGGTTATTTAATAATATTTGATCGGTTCGATTATTTATTAAATGAAAGTCGGTTAAGTCGGTTATTGATTTTTTCAAACCGAATCGACCAAACTGACCATTTACTCACCCCTATGCTAGCTTGCCTATCAAGAATCATTTTTCTCTTGCAAGTTTTTTTTTTCATCAAGTAATATCTAGCCAATTTAAAAAAAAAAAAATCTATAACAAATTTCTATCTTTTGAGATTTGAGTCAATATTCCAACAATCTTCACCTTAGCTCAAATTTCATCAAATCATCAGTTTTCATACTAAACATGTTTGGCTTTACATGTAATGGAAGTTTTATAACAATATTTTCTTATATATCTTTACACTTTATACAAATTGATCTCTTGAAACAAGAACTCAAACTCTTCCCTTGAATCGAATTCTTCTAGACTTGTTTTTTTTCATGTCTGAAACCTTCACTTTGATATAAGTTGTGAGGCCAAAAACCCCTATCAATCAAACATTCAAATTAGTGAAAGGATAATCAAACCATAAATCATTCATACAAGATACAATAATTTTAACATGGTTTAGCTTTTAATTTGCCTATATCTACGGATGAAAGAAAAGATCTACTAGTTATGGATAATTACAAACATATAATCTCAATCTTAAATTGATCTCTAATAATCTCAAATCATATTCTTATTATGTCAAATACATGTAAAACATGAAAATTTATCGTGTCAAATTTGTGTTAGGCCAAATACAAAAAACAATTTTTTAGTTTGGCTAAAGTAATAAAAAAGCCCTCGATCTTTGCAATTTATTTAAATAAGTTTTTATACTTTAATTATATTCAAATAAACCCTTTATCTTTAATTTGAATCAAAATAAGCTCTTAACTTTAATTTGTATCTACACAAACCCTTAAACTTTAAATGTGTACTTCAATAAATCATTAATATAAATCATTCTTTCATTTAAAATATGGACTTATATAAGAATTTATTTGGATATAATAAAAATATAAGAACTTATTTAAAAAAAAAATGAATTAATTCAATGGCTTTTTTAGTATTTTAGCATTTTAGTATTTATCAAACTCATATACAATTTTTATTAAAATTTTAAATTGTATTGCTTTTGTATAATTTTCGTATTATATCACTATTTTTTTTTAAATTATCATATCTATCCCTAAGGAAAGGTAAATGTACAGGATTCAACTTTCATTTTCCCCTTGATCTTGTCCAAGTGTGAAATATATATGAATGTTTTTTCTATCGGATGGTATTTTCTTAGAAATGCCTTATAGACAGATACATGACATATGTAATAACAAATTTGAATGGTGAATTCGTATATGAACATTTATTCAATGATTGATAGATTTTTCTTCTTAAAAAATGGATTCGAATTTTGCCATCTCCAAATATACAACAAAAGAATAATGGTAGGTTTAATTTGTACCTATACATGGATGAAAAGGAGACCTACTTCTTCATCAAAGCCTAAATATCAAGATTAATGAACATTGTTGGTGAATTTAATTTGAAGCAAATAAATGTTCTGACCATGAAAGGGGCAAACAAATGGTATTTTATGGTGTACAAATAAAGAAATCTGGTGGGACATGGTGACAAATTTAATTTCTATAACTTTCACATAAACATAAACCTTTTCCTCTTTATTTTTTGAAATGATGCCTATCCAAATGCATTAAAAACATATGGTCCCCCAATATGATGCCCTACTTCCAAGGGATCCCACACCATTCTCATTGCTGAACAAATTGCAATTGACCCATTGCTTTTCCCAAATCTTATCCTTTGTTTAGAAGGGTTTATTGATTCATGTTGGGGACCGCATAGAATTACCATTCAAGCAAAGATATTGTATCCCAATTGTGTAAAAGAAGAATAATGAGAAATACAATAATTTAAATAAACCCAATTTAGAAGAGAGGAACTCAATTGGTAAAAAGAGTTCTCCTTCCACATCAACTTAGATTTAATCTTTGTGGGAAGTATTCTTAAAGTAAAATATTAAAAGCATCATGTCAATGTAGGGGAATGCCGCTTTTAAAATTGTTCGAAAATAAAATTAAGCTTAAACAAAAGTTTAAGGATATTCTAATAGTATTAAAAGAATAAAAAATAAACCTAATTTTATCATATTAATAACTATAGCATAAATAAATTAGGTTATGTCATTGAACTTTAAGGTAAATTTTGATTACTACTTTAAATATCTTCCAAACATATAAATATTGCTTGAATTTAAATATTTATAAGAAAAAAAATTAGAATTTGTTATTTATAATTTATATGCCTATGTCTCATGCCAAAATCAATCCATTTACTGTTAAATTAAACCATGTGGAGCCATAGGCTTTTATCAAGATTTGATGTAAGCTTAGGTTAGACTTCACCTACTGATGTGAAATTACAATAAAAAGAAAAAAAAAAAGTAAATGAATTCTAGAGCTTGCTTGTATGGATTCCAATTAAGATTGCTTCCAAAATTTTCCATTTTAAATGACTTAATTTTGCATATAATTTTAATTAAAACCTTAAAGGCAACAAATGGATCATAAAAAGTCCATAAAGTTAAAAACACAAATTTGACTTTCTTGAATAAAACAAAATCAAACAGCTAGTAAAAGTTATCAAAGTGAACAAATTCTTCTCATAGTGTATTTAAATACTAAATTCAATCACTTAAATCTTAGAATATACTTATGATTCTTATGACAATT